ATTGGTCAGCTCAACGCCAAGCAACTGAGCTCCTACAGCTCGAATGCTGGCGGCGTCGACGAGCTGCTCAGGCTCTTTGCTGCCCACAGCGCGAGCTTGAACCACATCCACGCAGGAAATATGTGGAACAAACTGGGCAAGCAGCGCATCGACGAGCAGCGGCACGAGGAGCAGCTTGAGCGGCTGGTGCGGCGCACGATCGCTCTCGTTTCGTCGTGCAATGCGCGAGCACTGGCGAACATCGCGAACGGCGTGGCAAAGTGCCGGCAGCCAGTGAGTGTGGTGCGCCCGCTCTACGCGGCGGTGGCGGAGGCGGCGGTGCGCAGCGGGCTGGCTGGCTTCAACGCTCAGAACCTGGCCAACACGGTGTGCGCGTTTGCGAAGGCTGGCGTGGCTGCGGACGCGCTGTTCGCGGCGGTGGCGGAGGCGGTGGTGCGCAGCGGGCTGGCTGGCTTCAACGCTCAGAACCTGGCCAACACGGTGTGGGCGTATGCGACGGCTGGCGTGGCTGCGGACGCGCTGTTCGCGGCGGTGGCGGAGGCGGCGGTGCGCGACGGGCTGGCCGGCTTCAACCCTCAGAACATGGCCAACACGGTGTGGGCGTATGCGACGGCTGGCGTGGCTGCAGACGCGTTGTTCGCGGCGGTGGCGGATGTGGCGGTGCGCGGCGGGCTGGCTGGCTTCAAGCCACAGGAGCTGAAAGACACGGTGTGGGCGTACGCGACGGCGGGTGTGGCTGCGGACGCGCTGTTCGCGGTGGTGGCGGATGCGGCGGTGCGCGGTGGGCTGGATCGCTTCACGCCTCAGAACCTGTCCAACACGGTGTGGGCGTATGCGACGGTGGGCGTGGCTGCGGACGCGCTGTACGCGGCGGTGGCGGAAGAGGCAGTGCGCGGCGGGCTGGCTGGCTTCACCCCTCAGGCCCTGGCCAACACGGTGTGGGCATATGCGACGGCGGGCGTGGCTGCGGACGCGCTGTACGCGGCGGTGGCGGAGGAGGTGGTGCGCGGCGGGCTGGCTGGCTTCAACCCTCAGGACCTGTCCAACACGGTGTGGGCGTATGCGACGGCGGGCGTGGCTGCGGACGCGCTGTACGCGGCGGTGGCGGAGGCGGCGGTGCGGAGCGGGCTGGCTGGCTTCAACCCTCAGGACCTGGCCAACACGGTGTGGGCGTACGCGACGGCAGACTGTTATCACCAGGCGCTGCTTGCCGGCTGCTCGCGCGTGGTCAGCGACTCGCTCGCGCGGGATCCCTCGATATGGAGCGAGGAAGCCCGCCGTCAGCTTCACCAGTGGCAGCTCTGGCTCTCTCTTGAGCGAGGGGCAGACGGGCAGCAGCAGCTCCTTCCCGATTCCCTTCGCCAGCTTTGCCGCAACGCCATGCAAGACACGCAAGTGAAGATCTCCGAGTTGCAACGCTCCGTCGCGGCTGCCCTCGCTGCCGTCCAGCACGGCTTCGAGGAGGAGCATCTCGAGCCGTGCACCGGATACTCGCTCGACTTGGCGCTTCCCTCCTCACGCATCGCGATCGAGGTTGACGGCCCGTCTCACTTCCTGCGGCCTGACAGCCAAGGTGTGCGCGCGCCCAGCGGCACAACGATGCTCAAGCGGCGGCTCCTCGCGGCTGCTGGCTGGCGGGTGATCAGCGTTCCATTCTACGACTGGGATCGCTTGAACACGGCCGATGAGCGTCAAGCCTACTTGGAGCGAGCGGTCGGCCCCCCGTGCGCGGCAGCTCCACAGGCATCGCCAGGAGGATGTACCTCGCTCCCCAGCTGCAGCAGCCCCTTGCCAGCCCGGTCCAGCAGCCCGAACGCTAGCCGCGCACAAGGGCCGGACTACGAAGCTGACAGCTGCGGCAGCCCCAGCGGCAGCCCCAGCCCCCAGCATGAAGAGGGATGGACCTCCCTCGCGGCCGGTGCCTCTTCAATGGAGCTGAGCCTCGAGGTGCGGAGCGAGGTGGAGCGGTACGCGCTGACCGAAGGCCGCCTGAGGAGGCTCGTGGAGGAGCGAGGGAAGGTCTTTAGCGCCACAGTGGCCAGCACGGTCGTCGACAGGCTTTGCGGATTCATCGTGGCCGCCAAAGGCATGAGCGGCACGGCGCACTACGCGCTGCAAGCGACTACAGAGGTCTCGGCTGAGGAGGCACGCGCCAACGTCAGGACTCTGCACAAAAACTTGGAGAAACAGGTGCAGAGGCGGCAGCGGCAGTGGAGTTGAGTGAGGTGTGCCATGGTCTGTCGGGAGAAGAAAAGTGTTTGGAAAAGGCTACAAGAAAAAGAAAAACGCGATGTATGGCCGCAGCAGCAGAGGCTGCTTGGCGCCGCACGCCAAAGAAAGTTTGTGGGCAGGAACGCAAAAAAGAAACTCGCACCATGCGCGGCGGCTTCGAGCCCTCCCCAACCTGAAAAAGAAAATCCGACGCGTAACAATGTTGGGAGTGTGAACTCCCTACTCATGAATAGAGAGAGAGGGAGAGACGTCTCGCTATTCTAGCGAGATGTCTGTGTGAACAGGGACATGTGCGGGACGTGTCAGGCCGGCTTGCCTTTTGCTCTGTTTGTCGGTCGTCGCTCAACCGCGGCTTGGCTGATGTAGTCTTGCTTGTACCGTTCCTGTACGCCTCGGTACAGACCCTCGCTCCGTGTACAGCTCACAGCTCACTACAAACAACCAGCTCGTGAACGTCAGGCCTTGGCAAAGCGATCGCAAAATGCAGAGCAGGTGGCGGAACGGCGAGCCTCGCTGGCGCGACGAGCGGCGGCGCGACGAGCCATGCCGGCGCGACGAGCCGCGATGGCGAGACGAGCCGCGAGGGCGCAACGAGCGTGAGCCGCTGCCAAGGCCACCGAACCGCCCGCAGCTGCCGCCACGGTGGCTGCCTCCGCCGCCTCCGGGCGGCCCGTCGCCGCTGCCACCGCCGCGAAGGACAGGTGGTCCGCCGCAGTCGCCCTCACGCCGGCCAAACCCGGCAGTGCGCAACGAGCCGCCCTCGTTTGGCCGCTCTGCCGCCGTTGGTCAGCTCAACGCCAAGCAACTGAGCTCCTACATCTCGAATGCTGGCGGCGTCGACGAGCTGCTCGGGCTCTTTGCTGCCCACAGCGCGAGCTTGAACCACATCCACGCGGCGAACCTGTGGAACAAACTGGGCAAGCAGCGCATCGAGCGGCGGCACGAGGAGCAGCTGGAGCAGCTGGTGCAGCGCACGCTCGACCTCGTCTCGTCGTGCGAGGCACGTGATCTGGCGAACATCGTCCACGGCGTGGCAAAGTGCGGCCTGCAAACGAGGGCGGTGCACGCGCTGTTCGCGGCGGTGGCGAAGGCGGCGGTTCGCGGCGGGCTAGATCGCTTCAACCCCCGGGACCTAGCCAACACAGTGTGGGCGTATGCGACAGCGGGCGTGGCTGCAGACGCGCTGTACGCGGCGGTGACGGAGGAGGCGGTGCGCGGCGGGATGACTGGTTTCAAGCCGCAAGACCTGGCCATGACGGTGTGGGCGTATGCGACAGCGGGCGTGGCTGCAGACGCGCTGTACGCGGCGGTGGCGGAGGCAGCGGTGCGCGGCGGGCTGGCTGGCTTCAATCCTCAGGCCCTGGCCAACACGGTGTGGGCGTACGCGACGGCGGGCGTGGCTACAGACGCGCTGTACGCGGCGGTGGCGGAGGCGGTGGTGGGCGGCGGGCTGGCTGGCTTTACGCCTCAGAACCTGGCCAACACGGTGTGGGCGTATGCGACAGCGGGCGTGGCTGCAGACGCGCTGTACGCGGCGGTGGCGGAGGCGGCGGTGC